GGGGGGGGTCCCCACTGGGGTGCCTGGCCAGGCTGGGTGAGGGGCTGTGGGCCGTTTTCAGGCCGGTGGGTGACTGAAGCTCCCAACCTCTCCTTTTTTTCTCTTTGTTTTTTAATTCTGGGATTTATTTACCTTCTATGGCTATCACTGGAACTGAGAGCCGGCTTTAGCTCTGAGGCTTGGCTCCAGCTCTGAGACCTCGGCTGCTGATCTGGGTTTGTTTGGGTTCTATAATTGAAACACTGTTTCAGCTCCAGGTCCGAGGCCAGCTGGCTGAAAACAGGTTTCTGGGATTGTTTAGCTTCTATATTTGCAACATTGTTTCTTAGACTGCAGCTCAGAGACCAGCCGCAGCAGGTGGGGAACCTTGGCTTCCTCCGTCACTGGAGAAAGCAAGCCTCCTGTTCGCTTCAGCTGCCTGGCTACCGGCTGCCATCCTGGTTGGCAGTTAATTTGCATATCTCGCTGATTAGCCAATGGGAAGGGTAGCAAAGTTATGGTTAATTACCATGTTTCTCTTTTATTAGATAGGATTGGATTATAATGTTGTATACCTGAAACATATATAATGTTATAAATCAATGTTACCTCATTCTAAGAAAAAGAGAGAGAAGAATTACCCATTAAAAGTCACTCTCCATGTCTTCCCAACACCCTGCCACCCCCCAACCCCAACCACCAAAACTAGACTACCGCTTATCTACTTCCTGTATATTTGTCTATTCTGTACATTTTCTATAATTGGAATTATTCAATATGCGGTCATTGGTGATTGGCTATTTTCACTTAGGATAATGTTGTTCAAGTTCACCCATGTTGTAAGCAAGTGCCAATATTTTATCTCTTTTTATTCCCAAATAATATTCCATTGCAAAAGTGTAACATTTTATTTATCCATACATTAATTGGTGGACATTTGTTTTGTTTCTGAATCTTGGCTATTATCAAAAATTCTATTTTCAACATTTGTGCTCAAGTTTTGTGTGGACCTGTTTTCATTTCTCTTGGGGATATTCTTCGGAGTAGAATTGTTGAGTCATATGATAACTCCATATGTAACCATTTAAGGAGCTGCCAGACTGTTTTCCAAAGCAGCTGTATCATTTTACGTTTCCACAAGCAATGTAAGAGGGTTCCAATTTCTCTACATCCTTGCCAACATTTGTTATTGTCTTTTTTATCATAACCATTCTGATGTGTGTGAAGTGGTATTTCATTGTGGTTTTGATTTGCATTTCCCTGATGGCTAACGATGTTGAGCACATTTTCATGTGCTCGTTGACCATTTGTATATGTTCTTTGGAAAAACATCTATTCAGATTCTTTGCTTATTTTTTAATTGAATTATTTGCTTTTCTCCAAGTTTTATTTTTGACCCACCATGTTTCACTATGCTTAATTACCCACTTTATTTACAAGATCTGGAGCTAAATAGTTGGCTGCCATTTCCAAAGAGGAACCCCATCCTCAAAGGGGGAAGTCTGGCCACCACTGGAGACATTCAGAAGAACCTGACACAAACTTGGAGATCAACTCCATAATGAAATGAATAAATAAACTCTAAATATTTTCTCTCAGGGAAACATCATTATTTTGGATGTAGAAATTAAACACACACACACACACACACACACACACACACACATCAAATTAATTGCATCCTTTTATAATCAGACCTCCAGGTAAGATACACCCATCTGAAAGCTCAGTTTACCATGTTTCTAGAGGAAATGAAATAATAGATAATTAAGCCTACTTTTCCAGCTTTTGGTTGCTG